GATTGATATCGGCATTATTGTATATAAGATGTTGAATTAGTTATTTTAATTGCAATTTGATTATTATTGTCATATCCAGGACTAGACATTTGGAGCATAGACACCATAATATGATAGCCCAACATTAGGTAAACCAAGAATATGGATGACAGGATGAGTTTGGCTCGGCTACCATGTGAAGAAAATGAACCTTAGAACCTAACTCAATGTCGAAAGTTAGCTCATGAGGTGAAGATTGTCCAACACCAATGAGACCACCTAAACCCTTAATCAATGTAGGACATTTTAGCAAAGAGAAAGATGGAGATAAGATCACTTTTATGGATCAAACTTAATGTGAAGATTTGCTTATAAGTTTAGTACATTTTTCATGCTTTTGGCAGTATCTTAATTGTGGATTTCATTGTGAGACATTGTAATGAATAAAGTTGAAAAAGATATAGTTGTAAATAATTTAGTTGTTTATAATCTCACTTGAGGGTCTTGTGAGGTTTAAAAAAGGTGCTCCTCCCTTTTTCTTTTTTCACCCTTTCCATGTATGTATTTGCTTTAGAACTGGTCTAGTTAAGAATGAAGGTAGTCAAATTCCAGCTGTTGGCTAATCCTAAAACCTCACATTAATCTGCAGGTTCTTCTTGGAAGATCTGATGTGTCTGGCTGGGGAGCTTTCTTGAAGGTAATATCTAAGAACAGTGTTATGATTTTTCTCTGTATATCTGCAGATCCTTGTTGTTTTTGTGCTCATGTTTAGCATTAACAGAATAGTGTTGGAAAGCACGAATACCTAGGGGAGTATACTGGTGAAATAATCTCACACCATGAAGCTGATAAGCGTGGAAAGATCTATGATCGTGAAAATTCTTCGTTTCTCTTCAATTTGAATAATCAGGCATGAGAAATGACTTGCCCTCTGTACCTCGTTAAGTTATTCCTTAGGGTTAGGGCCCCAACTGGGTCTTACGTGAATCACTTGGCTTGTTCATATGCAGTTTGTGCTTGATGCTCATCGGAAAGGCGATAAGTTGAAGTTTGCTAACCATTCTCCTGATCCAAATTGCTATGCCAAGGTAATTGCTGAAATTTGCATAGGCATTTCCAGGACAGGTTTGCCTATGGTAAACGCAATAATGCTCAGATAACTCTTTGACAGGTCATTATGGTGGCTGGGGATCACAGAGTTGGTATATTTGCCAAAGAAAGAATGTCCGCAGGAGAGGAACTCTTCTATGATTATCATTATGCGCATGATAGAGCACCTGCCTGGGCAAGAAAGCCCGAGGCATCTGGTTCTAAGAAAGAGTATGCTGCTCCTTCAAGCGGCCGCGCTAAGAAGCATACATAATGAGTATTGATTTACTTATTGATTGGTTCATTCTTTTTGCAACATAATATCATCTACATTGACTATTTGATTGACTTGCGATCGTTTCATTGGCGTAGACTGGAGACCTATTGCCATCTCCAGGATTATTAATCAGATTCTGTTTTTTTTAATCTTTGGCTAGGCTGCTTTCAGCGCCGAGTGTAATCTTTGAGCGGGAATATGATTACAGGCTTACTGATCTCAATTTCATGGTTTTCATGTAAAACAACACAAAGTTGTAGATGTTTATTTGTATGCCCAAATCTGAGTGGAACTCATTTCTGGGAGCAAATAGAGGTCGTGACATGAATTTCTTGCTGATATTTCTGCTGCCATAGCATTTTACTCGCACTCCATGCATAGTGTGTGTGTGCACTTAAAATTTTGTGCGTAAACCATAGTCGACTAATATACTTTCTCACCTTATTCTATTATCTAATGATAAGTTAATATAATTTGGTTTAAATATCAGAGGTGAATAAGCATTTTTTTTAATGATAGCTGATTTTGGTTTTGGTCAAACTCGTGAACTTTGTTGAACTCGATGCTCGCCTCATGTCTCACCGGTGGCCTAACAGCTTCTACGTGTTTGCCTGAGTGAATTGTCAAATGCTGTTCTGTGTTTGAAGCGTGACTAGGCTCAATTTCGTGTATGCAATCGGGTGATTTTAAGCATTGACTTTCTTAGCTGTTTATATAGGTTTACCGAACTATTCGTTGTACAGAAAGAGGGCGCCGTTTCATTTAAAACACTGACGAAAAATAATTGCCCATTTTAATTTTAATTAAGCCAACAAAACTAAGCTGTGTCCCACCACCACGTGAAAAGAAAACCCCACTAGAACTTACTCCTATAAAGAGGTGCCAATATTATTGGGTAGCACTAGCACGATTCAAGTGCCGACTTTAATTAGGGACTCAATTTTACTAACTAAAATTATGACTTTTTCTAAAAAATTAGTATTACATAGGGGTAGAGAAGGGAAAATGGAGGAATACAAGGTGGGGAATCCAACCCTCATTAAAAAGGTAAAAGTTTAAAAAGACAATCAACTGAATTATTGAGATTTTTCAAAATTTTAACATCTTGATTCCGAAAAAATTACCACCCAAACTGTAAAAGAAAAAAGAAAAAACAAGAGAACGAAAACTATGAACTGAAGGATTAGAGCTTTTATGCAACAAAATAAGAAATTGGTCCGCTCATTTTATAACAGCTGATGATAGTTGAAACCTAAAACTATTTTGCAAACGTGCGTTAAAAGAAAAAAAAGAAAAAAAGGAAGAAGGAAATTTGCCTTACGCGTGGATTTGACAAATTTTATCAGTTTTCCAATACATGAATAGTTATTTATATATTTGTTACTCTCTCCGTTCACTTTTACGTGACACGTTTTAATTTTTTATACCCCTTAAGAAATAATAAATGAAGTGCATAATTTACCATAATACCCATATTAATTGATGCATATTTTATTGGATTTGAGAAAATGATTTGAAATGAGTAATAAATACTGTGGATATAACATGATTTTTTTTTTGTCTTCTCTTGATATGCGTAAAGTGACAATTAAAAATGAAATCTATTTTTAGTATACATGCTAAGTAAAAGTGAACGGAGGGAGGGAGTACTTTTAATTTATACTAATCTTATGATACGCGCTTTGCGCGTGTACACTATCTCAATAAGAAAGAACTATAAAATACTATATAAATAATATATTAAAATATTATGTTTGAGTGATAAAATAAAAGTTAATTTTTCCTAAAATAATGAATCTTCATACAAGTTCTCAATCATTAGTCAATATATTTAACTAAAAATTTATTTTAATTTTTTAATTCAATCATTTTAAGTTCATAAGTTATCATGCTTCTTTTTCAATTTCAGCAATCACATATAATCCTTGAAAATTTAAGAATTTTTTGGATTTATTTTTGAAAAGTTATTCCCTAATTCATTTTAGAAGACTCAAACAGGATTAACAAATTGATAGAAAATAATAATTTTTTTTCAAAAATAAAATGCAACTGATTTAATTTTTTAATTAATAATAAATACTATATGAATTATTTTAAAAATATTAGAAAGTGAATAAATTATTGTAACTCATTGTATAATCAAATTACATAACTTATACGAAGAAAAGGTGTTCTTAAAAAGAAAAAGAAAACAAACAACACTAAACCTAAAACTTTTTTATAAAAAAATAAAAAGAAATAGAGCACGTCAATGACTCTTAAACAATAAATTTCACAACAAAAAGATAATTATATGATTTTTCATATCAAAGTCCTAGATATTAGGCTATTAATTAAATGTTTGTCCCTAATATTAGAAAAATAATTAATGAATATTCCTGCATATAAGGAAAATAACTAAAATTACAACTTTGTCCAATATAAAATATATTCTTAAAGGGTAAAAAAGACGAACGACATTTTGCTAAGGGCCTTCGTGATTTTAATAGAAAGAATTACAAGAAAATACACTTGACTTCACACCATAACAAAAAATGGCTCATGTTTTTGAGTTTTACCCTACCTAACCCACATTGTACATATTTTGAAAGCACTTGCAAATTCAAAATTTGTGTTCTTACAACCACTGCTTCTAAAAACTATGGAGTTAATTCTTTGTTCTCACAATCATTTCTTTCACTCTCTCTTCTTCTCATATCTTGCTACATATGCTTCAAGGGGCCGTATATTTTCTGCTTCTCCTCTTGTGTCACCTGCTTGCAATGTAAGAAAATTGAAAAGTAGAAGTCTACCATTGAAGACCATTCAAAGCTTTGCTTTTGAAAATGGGGTTTTTTTGAATTTATTAGTTGTTTGGATTGGGTGTTGTTCTACTTGATTGAAAATATCAAAAGGAATTCAAAGTTTAAATTTGAAGTAATTTGGAGTAGATTTGAGTTAAATTTCAGAAAAGACGCAAGGAAGAAGACGAAGTCAGTTTTTTGTATAATTATGTATAATCTTGTATAACAGTGTATATGAGTGTAGAAACATACCTTATACACTTTTATACACCTTTATACAAGCATCTGTAAACGAACTTCTTCCACGATTTTCAGTTGCAATTCTTGTTCAAAACCAGTCCAAATCTCCATTAAATGACTTCAAATTTTATATACAACCTCCTTATACTATTTCTAACAAGTCTAAATAACACCCACTCCAATTCTTACAAAATCAAATTCGAAATTTAAACTCACATATTTAAGCTTGTTAAAAATCTAATTTTCACTACCCAAATAAATTTGATTTGTTGAATTAATATCTGAGTCACAGTTACTGATTCGAAAATTAATTTAAAAGCTTGAGGAATCTTTTTTAAAAATTAAATAGTAATTTTGAGAACCTATTGGAGTTGGATGTTAAATCTTAACCTATTATTTTTGGGCTAGTTGGTTGTAAATTGTAATATGGGCTATAAAATTGAAAAGTATAAAGCATAGTTGGTCTAATGTGAAATTTTCTCCGTGTAGATAGATATATTATTAGTAAAACAGTCAATTTTAGCATCCCATTAATAGGCTTTAGCTAATTGCCCTTGCCTCAAGTAAAACAATAACTAAAGTTGGGTTGATGCACAAAAATTGGCATCTTCCTTGTCGTCTCTATTATAAATAAATCCCACCCTCTCTAAAGACTTTTTTGGCCTCTATCTTCTTCTTTTCCCTTTTATACATGCGACTGCGTTTTGTTTAATCAAAGACTAGTTACTGCTTTCTCTTCAACAACTCCCGTGCTGTCTAAGGAGCACAGTATGTGGAGAAGAAGACACAGCAGAACTTCCAATGGTTACCTTATTTTGTTACTCTGTCACTTAGTTGTCCACTGTGCCAATTCCCAGGTTTTCCTTCTCTTTCTTGATTTTATTATTCCTTATTTTACAAGAAAGTATAAAAATGGACATTGCTGTTTTTTTAGTATGTTTGCGGTTTGTATTGTATGAATTCGTGAACCCCATCCGCAGATCCGTGCATTTTTGTTTTTCAATTTTCTTTTCTGGGTTTCAGCTGAAATTTGATGAATATTACAGCTTCAGAATTCATGTGCTTCGGCTACCGACTGTGGAGCTGGTTTATACTGTGGTAACTGCCCTGAATTGGGAAAGAATCAGCCCTTTTGCATTAGAGGACAAGCTACTGAACCCACTTCTGTTGTAAGCTATTTGCTTCTTTTTTGTTTCTTTATTTACTGTGCTCTGAAATTTCTATTTTTTGAATGAGAGTGACGTGTATTTGCTTTTGGACTTGGCGATGGGCAGATCAGTGGATTGCCCTTCAACAAATACTCGTGGCTGGTGACTCATAATGCCTTTTCAATTGTAAATGCACCTTTATTGACTGGCCCTCAGAGAATTACATTCTATAATCAAGAAGATACTGTTACTAACCAATTGAGAGTATGTGGTTCCTTATTCTTGTCCAACTATATTTTTCAACATTTATAGACATGTTCCTTGTATTTTGTTTCTAGTTCTTATGTTTATTTCATGTATCTTTTTAGAATGGAGTGAGGGGATTGATGCTGGATATGTACGATTTCGAGAATGATATATGGCTCTGTCACTCGTTTCGTGGCCAATGTTACAACTTCACTGCCTTTGTAATGCTATACAGTTCCCTCTCTTCTTTTGCACTGAGATTGCTTTTTGAGTAGCTCTTCCGATGTTAACACGTAAAATGTGCTTTCTTTAGGAACCTGCAATCAACACTTTGAAAGAGGTGGAAGCATTTTTGAGTGCAAATCCTACAGAAATAGTCACCATCATAATTGAGGATTATGTACATACCCCAAAGGGTTTAACAAGGGTATTTACTGATGCTGGGTTGGACAAGTATCGGTTTCCTGTTTCAAAAATGCCCAAAAAGGGTGACGATTGGCCCACCGTGAATGATATGGTTAAAAAGAATCATCGTTTGTTGGTTTTTACTTCTGATTCTTCAAAGGAAGCTGCTGAAGGAATTGCTTATCAGTGGAGATACATGGTCGAAAATGAGCGTAAGTACTAAATTAATGTGCACTTCTGGGGTGATTCTGGTTTGTGGGTTGGTTCTTTAGTAATCATATATGATAAATGTTTCAGCTGGAGACCCTGGAGTGGTGCCTGGCGCATGCTCTAGCCGCAAGGAATCAAAGCCACTTAATTCCAGAAGCGCCTCTCTGTTTCTAATGAATTACTTTCCCACAGTTGCCGTACAAAACGGGGCCTGCAAAGAGCATTCAACTCAACTAGTTGATACGGTTGGTGCCTGTTTCAAAGCAGCAGGCAACCTGATGCCCAATTATGTGGCAGTAAACTTTTACATGGTATTAAAAAATTTACTGGTTAATGATGCTAATTCAAATTACTAGTATAAATTTTCAACATTGACTATGAAAAAAGAATATTCCTGCAGAGAAGTGATGGAGGAGGAGTTTTTGATGTTTTAGATCGAATGAACGGTCAGACACTATGTGGTTGCCCGACGGTCACGGCATGCCAGGTTTATCCATCTTTTCTCAAATATTGATATTTGGATAGTTGTTTTAGAACTGTAAACACATGTCTATGCAGCATAGGCTCACTGTATGAAGAGACTTAGGAGGAAGAACCATGATTGAACTTCTCTTTATTAGCAGATCCTGTGTTTGAATTATGTGGCCTGTAAGTGATACATATCTTCAATTCGACAGTAGAGAAAGTAATCTACTTCTGTCTAGAATAAAAAGTTGAGAAGTCCAAAATAAGAAATAGCTTCTGAAGAAAGCTTCAAGACGAGAAATAGCATTACTACTTAAGTGATTATAATCAGATAACAGTTGCTTGAAACATCAATTGCAACTTCTGTTCCTGTGAATCTAAACAAATTTGGCATAGTATTCACTGTATGGGCAAAAGTTACTCAATGGATAAGTAGTTGGTCTAGCCCATGACATTTTAACATTCCACTTGCATCAACGGATTTCTTTTTTTACAAATTAGTAGGATAGTTAACTAACACCGTTTTGCTTCTATATGGTGGCCAAAAAGCTCTTTTTAAGGATGTTGTCTTCCTCCTTTAACCTGTCTCTCAAAATAAAAACTTGCAAGGTTTTATGAGAATACAACTCATGACCTTAAAATGAGTTGATTAGTGGTGTGATCAGTTTATACTTATGTTAATATAATTTCATTTGTGGAAGGATATTTGCATGAACCATGAAAATCTCTAACATTGACCTGGTTACATTGCTTCTAAATGGTTATTTTGATAAAAAAGCTTTTGCCGTCATGGATATTGCAAACATCCTGAGGGATCTATTAGAGATAGATTTAAGCTTATTGTTTATGTTTATTGGAGGCATACATGAGAGCATAAGTTTACTTTTCAACTTATGCATTAAATGGACTTTCTTTTTGCAGGCAGGAGAACGTTTTGGAGTTTGTAGGAATATTACTGCAGCGAATGCAGCTCCAACAGCAACCAACGCTGCTGGAAGTTTTTCTGGGTCTGTGCAATTAACAGGCCATGCTTCAGCAATCCATTTTTCTAGAATCATATACCTATTTTCATTGTCTTCTGTAATCCTTTTGTATCTATTTTGAGAAGAAGAAAAGAGTTTCAGGCAGACGTTTCCATCAGTTTCATCCACGGATGCTCGATTTCTACTATATTTTCCTCTGTAGATTTTTGGAGTCGGAATAGGTACAGTATACACTAGAGTCCCACTTCGGCATGTTAGAACAAGGAACATTCAGCTTGAAGTTTGTTCTCCTAGTCAAAAAGAACTTGTAATTTTATGGAGGAGTTTGACATAGAAGTAGGCATTGGGTTGCAGAAGAATATTCAACATGTACCAGGTAATTTTATCACATCCCAGGTCATCTTCTAGCTGCCAGTTCTTTTCCTTTGATATGTTTACAATGGTGGTCTATTTTTCAAGTGGATTTTTGTTAGTTTCCGGTATGAAAATGTGACTTTCTCTAGTCATATTAATAAGTGACTTTGTGAGTTGTGAAACGCTATGCTTCCGCTCTGAGTTTCTTGAATTAGTTTGATTATTGAAGATGCTTGATTTGGAGGAGGTGGTAACTGAAAATTCTAAGGCAATTCAGCTATTTTCATTTGATTTGCAGTTGGGTGGTTACTGCTTTTAACAATGTGACAGTGATCTTTTTACCAGACCAAGCCTGGAGTGGTTCCAACATTTTTGCCTGGTTTCAATATGTGGTTTGTCCTTGGGGAGAATTTGTTTAGTCATTTGTGGGGTTGACACTATGGCTCTATGGAAAGTTTCAGAAGAGATACCATTTCTAAATTATTATCTACCTTATGCTTTGAGACAAAAGATTGCTGGCATGTAATAGTAGAGGGGGATAACATGGAGCATATAGAATGGTATTTACTGATGGTTGGCAGAAAGTGAAAATAAAGGCTAGTGTCTAGTATAAAGTCTGTGGAGCAGGAGTGAGAGTAATGTGAGTAAAAACTCTACTAAAAAGTGATTTACATACTTAAATGATGTGAGGGGTTTTCCTTATTTGTTCTCAGATATTTCTTCTTTAAGAAGTACTTATTCAACACAGTTTAAGAATCTTCAAGCACTAACGAATGATTTCGCGATTAATGATATATTCAAATCACTTTCTGGTTAAGTATCTAACACCAAGTGGAGCTTACAAATTGTTATGGTGCTTCTTTGGTGGACTAGTTTGTACTCTTCTCAAGGCATATCATGTTCCTAATATTTACTACCTAAAGTGTTAACATGCTTGGATTTTATAGTCATAGGATATAAGTTAAAACTTTTTATGTATTAGAGAACTTTTCTCTGACGCCCAATTTCTTCGTTGTCTTCTCTTCAGGTTATTATTCAGGGCAGTTCAGGTGTAGAAACTAGCGGAATGTATTAGTTGTGTTCAACGAATGATAGTGTCAATCATGCAATCTTTTTCTTTCTCTTCAGAGTTTCTGCCTGCGGTGTAATCACTATCACAATTATGCAGTAGTGCCACTTTCCAGCTTTGAGAATTGAACTAGAATATAATGTACTCACATGTTAGATTAGACCACTATAATAAATACTACAATAAGGTTTCTCTCATGTGACATTATTATGCCCCATTAGTGGAATCATTGTTTGTTTAAAGCATTATACAAATCCTAAATGTTGAAGATGATATTTCAATGGTAGTAGTAACTAAGGACTAATAAGAGACATGCAGATTTGTTGTGTCTGCCTCTCTCGACCCTCGAGTTAAAAAAGAAAAGTTCAAGTTGTATGGATGGATGATGCAATTATTGATAAAATCAGCTGAATTGTAAAGTAATTATTTGGTAAATGTGTCTGATAAACATTAATTGAGCTTAAACCTAAATCTCACCATTCTTCTCACCCTTCCCAAATTCCAACCACTCGACTCTTGGGGCATTTGACTGCCAAGAATTGATTTATTTCACTTGTAAGAACATGGATGTTTAAGTAGTCAAGAATTAATATTTCGGTGCAGGAGCAGACTTTGAAATGAACACTACAGAAGTTGTAAGGAACTCTAATGAATCATCTGACAAGCAGAAAAATGGCCATTAAATGTAAAGGATGTCTTCTTACTGCAGGCAATTAATTGTCCAAATTAATACAAAGGAGAATCACAAAAAGAATCTGTACAAAGCATTATTGTTCATCCAACAATTGGCAAGCAAGATATATACTAGTTGCAATCACATAGGAACTTAGAAGGCTCCTCAGAAGACAGCAATATTAGGCAGCATTCCTTTAGGTTGTATCTGTAGAGCTGGGCTAATAGTGAGTAGGCCAATAAAGCAGTCCACAGTAACCCTCATGCCCCATGCATTAATAGACTCTAGTTTGCGGCATTTATTTACCAAAGCCAGAAGTCCATTCTCAGTTACATGACGACAGCCCCACAACACAATAGTCTGCAAAAGATATTACGTAGTATTCTTTAAAAACAAAACCGAGTGAAGGTAAATACAGAAGTAAGAAACTGCCAGTGAATTGATCATTTTGTACAAGTTGCAACCTTAAGGTGTGGAATTTACCTTCAAGTGTGGGCAGCTACCAGCAATAGCAAACAAGGATATGTCTGTTATAAATGTACCACCGATATTCAGATGCTGTAGAGAAGAAGCTCTGGAGATCTAACCAAAAGACCAAAACTAAATGAGGCAAACTTTTCATAAGCAGCTTATTTCACCCAAAAGTATAGGGCAGGAAAAACCTCATTGTTACAAATTGCAATGCATTGTGCTTCAAGTGCATTGTTTGAAAAAGGATGGCTTTCTAGAGCCAGATCTGAGTATAATTTACAAATATTCTAAAGTTTCATTTTGTATTTATGTAATATATATATGTGATAGAAAGATGTCCATTATGTTTCTGGGACTCCCATAAGATCCACAAATGAAGTGCACAGGATAACATACCAGCTGAACAACACCTGTATCTGTGATCCCGGTAGTGCCCCATAAAGATAGTGATGACAGATTGCTAATACATCTAGCAGTGGACAATTGGTACAGCCCGCGATCCGTTATTTGACAACCCCAACGGCTCCTTGAGCTGAAGAAAGCAAACAACTCAGAACAGTACAATAAAGAAGTGTCTTCCTTTTCATCACTAGCCACATTCATGTCATCAGTGACATTATCCAAAGTTGAAACAACCAAAAAGGTTTGCAGACATTTGTGCACTGACCATTACTCGGCACACTTTACCTTGTCATTTGTTACTAGTATCTTAAATTGATTCCAAACATAGCAAAATGCAAAATACCTCTAAGTTTGATTAGATGCCCTATTATGCTTCAAGCTGATTAAGAAAGAACGGGATTCATATATAGATATGTAAAGACTAATAAGAATAGCCATCACTCAATTGAATCTTGCAGAAAATAGGATCTCATATTGAGCTCCAAATATATGCTGTCGGGCCGAGATGGCTTGGTCTTTAATACCAGCAACTCAAGCTGCATGATTAGATGGCTTTATCAGTCTAGTGGCTGCTGTATCAGTATCACTGATCAAAGAGCGAGCAGCTGCAGGTATAATGATTTGGTGGATCTGTTAATGCCACATAGTCGAGACCTAGCCGGATTTCCAAATATTGAAGAGCAAGGCTTTATGGTTTTGCTCTATCCTACTTGACACAGATAAAAAGAGAAAACGATTGCTCTAGTTGAGAAGAAAACAGGGATCGGTCTAAGTGGCGATATAGAAGATTCAATGAGTCTAAGTGAAACTAGTACAAGAAATTCACTACTTCTTCAGACAACTTTTTGTCACTAATATAAGCATTCTAATTTCTGATATTATCAAAAACCTTTTTGAATCAATCATTTAAAGAGAATGATATCAAAAAGCCTAATGTAGATGACAGAACATGTGTTTTATCATAAATTGACAAATGTATTATACTTGATTATCTAAAAGAGTATGAGATGAGAGGAAATAAATTTACTTAATTAGAGTAGAAAATAAGAAACTTAAAAAGTCATACATATCGAGTTCCTTGAGACTGTAAGCATGAAGAAGGAGGCGAGTAGTAGAATCATCATTCACTTTCCAGCCAGAAAAACTCAAAAATTCTCTTCTAGCTAAGGATTCTTTCACCCCCTCTCTCCATTTCCTGCTCACAGCGCTCGTCCTACAAAACAAGCAGCAGCCAAATAAACACAAGACGAAACAGAAACAAAGGGGTAAATACAGGGAATTAAGAAGAAAAAGTAGAGGAAAAAGAATAGGCAAATTAACTGAGCCAAATCCTTGAAACAAGTAAGCAGAGCAAAAATATGAGCCAAGAGGTCAAAGGGCAGTCTATCAATTGGCGTTTCTTGATCATCTACTTCTCCAACCCCCTTTCGCTTCATCAAACCAAATTAAAAGAAAATTACAGAAATAACAAAGGGCTTCAAAATTCAACACACACACACAGAAAATTCAAGAAGAAGAAGAAAGAAGGAGTCGAAGTTATGCAAGTTTTGGAACAGAGAAATAATAAAAATCTGACAAGTAGGAGAGAGAAAGTAAAGTGTGGTCATCTTTTCGTCATGTCATTCACCTTTTAACGTTAGTACATCCATGTTCTTTTCCTTCTAGATGCAGTAGCTTTTAGAATCTTCATTCACTGAATCAGGTAGTTGAATTTACTAGTATAAACTAGCTCCTCATTTTAGCCCAAATATGAGAACATTTTTAATGATAGACCATCATGGTGAAATTAATCAATTTAAAAGTTTTACCCGACTAACCTAAAAATTTTGACTTTTTAGATAGATACAAAGTTGTATATACTCTTTACGTATTTTAGATGTACTTATATATATAAAGAAGTTGTGGAGTTTGCGTCTTTGCGTAATCATAACTCAGAAGGGCAGCTTTGAATTTGATTTTATATATTATTATTACTAGTTCGTTGATGACGTTACGTTTAGCTTGCGTGTATTCATTGATTTTGGGCACGACACGTGGGTTTCTCGTTGCTCTTCCTCTTTGCAAGGAACTCGCCTTTTCCCCTTTTATTTATTTTCTACCTTTTCCCTTCGGATGTTGTCACATTTACTGTTGTGTTGTAAAATAACGATGGTAAAGTAAATAAACCAAAGACAAGTAGGGGGAGAAACTGATATATTATTCAACTTTCAAACTGATATATATAATCAACTGAAAATTCTTTTATTTATAGAAGAAAGAAAGCAGCTGCGAGGCTTTTCAGAAAGCAGCTACAAGATTTTTCTTGAGCTGCTTGTAAGCTGTCTGCATGAGTTGCTTGCAACCTGTCTGTTTAATAAAAAGTTGCTGCAAATCATTTCATTAAGTTGCTTGCAACCTGCCTGCATCAATTGCTTGTAGATAAACTTCAATGAAGTACTAAAGGGATAATCTTCTTCAGGAAGATTATCTATAGCGGAGTATTAAATGAACATTCACAATATAATTATTTTCATAACACTCCCCCTTGGATGTTCATTAAAAGATATTGTGCCTCGTTAAAACCTTACTAGGAAAAACCTAGTTGGAAAAATCCTAGTGAAGGAAAAAGAGTACACATATTTAGTAATACGCATTTAACTGCCTCATTAAAAACCTTACAAGAAAAACCTTATGGGAAAAAACCTTAGTAAGGAAAAAAGAGTACAACTCCCCCTGATGAAAACATTGATCTCCGCATTCCAATCTTGTATCTTCTCAAAAGTTGAAGTTGGCAAAGATTTAGTGAACAAATCTGTCGGATTGTCACTTGAACGGATTTGTTGCACATCAATGTCACCATTTTTCTGAAGATCATGTGTGAAGAATAATATTGGTGAAATGTGCTTCATTCTATCTCGTTTTATAGATCTTCCCTTTAATTGGGCTATGCATGCAGCATTGTCTTCGTATAAAATTGTGGATCTTTTATCATATTCCAAATCATATTTTTCTCGAATGAAATGAATCACTAATCTCAACCATACGCATTCCCTACTTGCTTCATGAATAGCTATTATCTCCGATTTGAGATCGAGCTTTATGGGGATAAGATAAATAACCTGCATCTGCATAACCAACAAGATCTGCACTACCTTTGTTACCATAAAACAAACTCATATCAAAAGTTTCCTTTAAATATCACAATATATGCTTAATCCCATTCCAATGTCTCCTTGTAGGAGAAGAGCTATATCTTGCTAGTAAATTAACAGAAAATGCTATGTCAAGCCTTGTAGCATTAGCAAGATACATAAGTGCACCAATTGCACTAAGATATGGTGTTTCAGGACCAAGGAGTTCCTCATCCTCTTCTAGAGGTCGGAACGGGTCCTTATTCACTTCAAGTGATCGAACAATCATTGGTATACTCAATGGGTGCGCTTTGTCCATGTAAAATCGTTTTAAGACCCTTTCTATATAGGTAGAATGATGGATAAAGATCCCGTCTGCTAAATATTCAATTTGCAGACCAAGACAAAGTTTTGTCTTTCCAAGATCTTTCATCTCAAATTATTTCTTAAGATATTCAATCTCCTTTTAAAGCTCTTCTAGAGTTTCAACAAGATTTATATCATCAACATAAACATCAAGTATAACAAATTCTGATGTCGTTTTCTTTATAAAAATACATGGACAAAAAACATTATTTATGTAACCTTTTTTCAGCAAATATTTACTAAGGCAATTATACCACATGCACCCAGATTACTTTAAGCCGTACAAAGATCTTTGTAATATGATTGAATACATTTCTCGAAGACTTTGAACTATATGCTTTAGGCATTTTAAATCCTTCGAGGATTTTCATATAGAATTAATCAAATAAGTCGTATAAGTTATGATTTGCATTTAAATGGCATGACATCTTCAGGTGTCTGGACAACATGTCTGATCCTCACAATCTTTTATAATATTGTGCACTATATTATATCAAATATATCGTCGATGATCATTTTGTATCGGTTCCTAAGCGACATAATTTGTTGAGATCTCATCACTTTCTTTATTTTCATGTACCTGAACTTCTTATGCAGTTTCATAAAATGTTATGCCGTGGGCTCTTTTAGAGCTCATTTCCTCCTCAATATGATCATTAGCTCCTATCATTTTTTAAGGATTGTTACCTTTGGAACCGATTGGTCTACCACGCTTCATGCGTACAATAAACTCTATCCTTCAAGGAATTTAATTTTAATAGGAGCATTTGTAGCTGAAATATGATATTTAATTTTGGATCAACAAATATTTCTAGCATTTGACTTGAATTATCTTCTAAGTGAGGATCATATTAATGATAATTTGATCATATAGCATATTTTTCAGTTGTTTCTTCCATCCCCCAAATGTTAGAAAAACTAACATATATCCTCAATTTTCTTTGGGAAACATATATTTGTGTATTGTGGTAGAGAAATTAATCATATACCACACATCAAAAGATAGTAAAAATATTTGATTTCTGATCCTAAACCAATTGTGAGGGGATGACTTTTCATATATTGTTGGTCTGATGCATACAAGTGTTACTCTATGCAATTTAGAAAATCTTAGACCAACACATGAAGTTTTGTTCTCATAAGCAATGATTTAGCCATTAATAGGAGGTATTCAATGCTAAACCATTTTGGATATAAAACAATATTATCAAGATGAACTGTCTTGATTTTATAATCTGAAAATCATGCTCTTAAGTGAAAAAAATAATTTCAAATGCCAAACTGCATGTTCACAATAAACATACATGTAGCCATCTTATATATGCATTTATAAGTGGTTTACATGATAGGTGAATGAGCCCGTATTCACCTTTTATATATATTTCAGAATCAGAGGTCTTAGTCTCAACTTTAGCTGGTATAATCAATTTTATTATAAGAACAAGCAACACAGGAGAATTCTTGAAGAATCTTCTAGTTCTTCAGTATATGTTTATCCGAATTCTCAAATAGCTTATTTAAAAATGTCAAATGAAAACTTCAAGTTTATCACGGCATGTGCTATCATTTAGCAAACTTCTAGGTTACTATGATATAAACTTTTGCATTAGTAAACTTCTGATTTACTGTGGCTGCTTTTGAATTAGCAAATTTCTGATTTACTGTAGCTACTTTTGCCTTAGTAAAACTTCTGATTTACTGTGACTGCTTTTGCATTAGTAAACTTCTGATTTACCGTGATACATAATGTGGTACAAATTGAAGAATAAGGCGGGTAACTTCTCACATACATATTTTTTTACCCCTAGGATTGTGGACTTCTGGTTTATTGCAATATATGTCTTGACCACAATCATACGATATAAATGATATATTTTCATATAAGCTCTTTGGGAGCCTTCAATTTATTTTCCACAATCAAATATTATTCAGACACTACTTGTGTCATGTGTCTTCTAAACAAACAGTTAGCTTTTCAGGAGCTTTTAGTAAATTTTGTACTACCAAATATTGCTCAGACACTTCTGGTATCATGAGAGAAAATCATAATCAAATTAACAATATAAAGACAATTCTAAATTTATTAAATGACGAAAATTAAGAAATTTAATATTTCAACCACTACATAATGTTTTCCTGCTTCGGGAAGAAATTTTAATTGCTTACTACTTTAGGAGCAAATTAAAAATATAAAATATTGAGTATATCATATTACCTCTTTTGGAGGTGAGTTATAATATATTCATATCAAGAGTGTGTTCATATTTACACGATTTATTAATATTGTCACATTCACTTATGGGGCTGAATCAATATTTATCAAAAATTCTCATCCTTAGGGGAATAAAATATAATTATCTGAACGTGCATTAACCACATCACACTGTGATGCTTCGAACCTCCTTTTAAGATATTTGCTACTTCAGGAGCAAATCGAAACATGGAGGTAATATGGAGATTTTTTTTCTAATTTATCTTCAATTGTAATCATAACAAGCCTAAATTATCACTTCTGGTGGTCATAGGCATATACCACTTCTGGTGGTTAATAAAATTTTGTTATAATGAGATATACAAAATATTTTCACTTCCGGTGGTCGTACTTTGCTAGAGTTCAAGAACTATAAAATTAAGCCATAACAAGACTTAGAAAATATTGCCACTATTGGTGGCTATATATTTCTTGCAAACTCCCATGCGTAGCCATCGATAAAGTTAAAAATAATAAATCATGGTCTCTTCCCGTAATATTATTCTTCAGGAACACATTTATGGCATGAACTGCCAAGTGAACCGATTAGGCTCCTTAGGACCAATGAACAAAAATTATATTATTAGGAGCAAAAAAAACATGAATATCTGATATGAAGGAAGTATTAATCTTTTGAGTAGAATTCTTAATGATGGCAATTGTATATGATTTATAGCGATAAACTTTTGCTAACTTAACTCAACGAATAGTTAGTGTTAAGCAATATATGAAAGTGCAAAAATTAATGTCACAAGTCCTT